TGTGATTATCGGCCAGGTTGGCACAATTAACTAACTCAGACAAGATGGATTGACGCAGTGGCTACACCAATGGGCTCAAACACAACAAAGACTGTGAGGCTAGCCTAGGACTGGGCAGTGTTTGTTCTGTTGCACATTGGGGCGCTATGGATCAGGACTGACTTAGTGGCACCTGACAATAATTATTTCTAGAGGAGCCCTCCTGGTATACTGGGTTATGCACTGGGCTACTAACTGCAAGGTCAGCAGTTCAAAACCACCAGCTGCTCCTCAGGAGAAAAATGAGGCTTTCTACTCTTAGAAAGAGTTACAGTCTCAGAATCCCACAGGAGGCAGTTCTACTCTATCCTATTGGGTCTCTATAAGTTGGAATCCACTTGATGGCAATAGGAGGGTGAGGTGTAGGTTTGTTATGAGTCAGCATTAGCTTGATAGCAAGGTGGTTGTTTTTTTTGGTCTTTAATTACAATCACTTTATTAATATCTATCTATCTATTATCTATATATCTAGGTTTTAAGAAGCCCTGGGGGCACTCTGGGTGAAGTATTAGACTGCTAACCATAAGGTCGGTGGTTCAAACCCACCAGCTCTCCTTAGGAGAAAAAACGAGGCTGTCTGCTCCCATAAAGGTTTATAGTTTCGGAAACCATAAATAGGGTCACTAGGAGTTGAAATCCACTCAATGGTAGTGAGTTTTGTTGTTTTTCCTCCTATGTTGGGAGCTCTTGGCTGTTTCATCCTAAGTTTTCCAGGGTTTGTTTTCGCCCCGTTTCCATGGTGATTTCTTGGCGCGATGTTTCTATTTCTGCTCTGGCTGGCAGCCTCGCTTGGTTTTGCTCCCTTTCTGGACACTTTCCGAAGTGCACACAGACCAGAGAGAGGGTGCAGAGACCAGAGCAGACTCGTGAAGCTGGCAGGCTCTGCTTACTACCAGGGAACAGACGTCCGCTCTGGTGATAAACTTGGCCACCCTCCCATCCGTGTCCACCCGGAGAGTCTCCCCCGAGAGTCTCCTCGCTCTTAGGAGCACACATCCCCCTTGAGTGAAGCCTGGCCTTGTGCTCACACCTGAGACTGCCCCTCGGATGCTGAGAACCTGTGGGCGGGGGTCTGTTCCACGCCAAGCTTTCCCTGCTTTGTGCAAAGGGAATTCCACCAGCTCACAGAAAAACCCCATTATTTCATTATCATTTTCCATGAATGATTTGAAGCCCCTAATATTATTTAGGGGCCAGTTGAAAATCTGCCAGCGAAGATTATTGTTGTGGCCCAAGTGCTCTGATCATGGGGATGGTTTGTTTCATTGTGTGGGGGGGTTGCCATGGGTCAGGGGCCAACTGGGTGCCCTAGGACCCTGGTGCCCTTAGAGTCAGGAATGGTGTTTTGTACGGTGCTACCCACAATGCCCAGGATGGATGCTGGCAGAGCAAGGAGGCTCATAGACAAGTGGGCTCCATCTGACAGGCACTTAATCTAATTCGGACAGATCAACAGGGAGGCATTTTCTATATACGGGCAGGGCTGTTCAAAAATACTGTGTTGAAGATACTCAAATAATCATGCGTGCCAGCTACACTGAGGTCTCACAGCCTTGATTATGGAGATGAAGAGATGGGTGCTGAGGGAGATGAGTAACATGGCCAGAGCCAGACACCACGGAGGGGAGGAACTTGGATGAGCCCCGGACCTCCCTGGATGTGTACCCAGCACAGCTTACAACTTCTACAGCAGGGATTCTATCCAGGCAAGAGAATTGGTGGGGAGCCATTCACTTCAAGCAGAAA